ACGGGGCCTGTGTGGCCTGCGTTGATGTGGGCAACTTCTCGGTGGGTTGATGTGGCGCGGGAAACCGCAGGTGGCTCGGGTGTAGTGGCTTTGGTGTTGAGGAAGGGAAGTGAAATGGCATAGTACTGGAATTGGTCGTATTGGTGAGTTGTGTCGTTCCACTTAGCGTGGGTGTATTGGCGGAAATCGTTGATCTCCTTGTAGGAGATGTTGCAGTCTGTGAGGATATTGGCAATGTACTGGTGTTGTGGTCTGTTGGGATTGTCGAGTTGGGTGGCGTGGAATTCGAGCCATTCCAGGATTTGGTCTGCGGGTGTGAGGGTGTGAAAGTTGGGTGGAGGTCGCCAACGGTTGAGTGGGCGACGGATGACGGCTGTGGTGGGATATTGAGAGGGATCAGGGTTCGCGTGTTCGGTGTTTGGGCGTAGATCAATGGGTTGTGGTGGGGACCGACTGCGGGATGGTGTGAGGCTAGATGTGTAGGTGGATGTGGAGGGCGAACGCCGTCGCCTGGTTTTGCTGTGGTGTTTGGAATGGTGGTGATGGCGATGTCGGCGGCGGTGGCGGTGGCGTCCTCTGTGGTGATGGTCGGACTTGCGTCGGCTCTTGTGATGGTGGCGGCGACTGCTGTGTGGTGGTTGTGGGGAAGGTGGTTGTGGTGCTGGTGAGGCAGTGGTGTCAGGTTTGTCTGGTGCTGGTATTGAAGGTCCCGGTGCTGGTGTGGCCGAGACCAGCGAGGGGGATGCTGAATGTTGGGATACGGTGGCCGGTGTGTTTTGGACTGGTAGTGGATTGTCCTGGGCAGTCGTGGGGATGGGTTGGATCGGTGGTGTTGGATCCGATGGTAGCTGCTGTTGAAATGGAGGTTGGGTTGGCGTTGAGGCAGTGGTAATTTGTGGAGGCGGTGGCGGGGGCCCCGGTTGGAGTGGAGGTTGTGTGACGGGGGGAAAGGCTGAATAGGGTTGCCAAACGCCCTGGGGGATGGCACATTGGGGATCTGTGGATGGATAATTGGCAATCGCGGTCTGTTGCTGTGTTGGAGGGGGATGTGTCAGTGTAGTGGGGGGAGGAAGTTCAGCTGGTGGTGTGGGATGATGTGGTGGCAGCAGGTAGGACGGGGGAGGTGCTGCTGTCGGAAACACTGGAGCTGGATGTGTGGGTTGCGGTGGCACGTGACATGGGGGGACAAAAGTCCAAGTGGATGGTGTGCCGTAGGTCAGTGCGGTGGCAGTAGGGGCGGATAAAACCGGTTGTGGTTGAAATGGTTGTGGTTGGAGGTGAGGGTATGCCGGTGGTTGTGTCGAGGGATAGGTGGGTGCAGTTGATGGCTGTGGCATCGGCCATGTGGGTTGAGGTTGTGTGGTAGGTAGTGGTGGTGGCGTGGTGTGAGCATAGGGCCACGGAAAATGCATGTCGTGGTCGTAGCTATGGCTCGGCGCGGCGCGGCAGCAAAAGGCAGCGAAGAAATGCCGAGTGGTATTGTCTTGTTGTTGTTGAAGGTGTCAGCGCTGGTGTCGGTGGTGAGGATGTTGTAAGGTGGTGCTAAGCGTTAGCTTGTTGGTAAGTGTGTGTTCATGCATCTCGAATTAAGCTGAAGAGTTGCAATGCCCTTCCTTGAGTGCTGTCGATGAGAGAGTCGCGGCAGCAACATAACGAACACATAAACACGCACATGATTGGAAGCCATGAAAAGAAAACTGAATGCCGAAATCTGAAATCAGAAGTTTTGAATCTGAGGGATTTGTCAAAAACCGTTTTTTGGCCCGGCGGCCGGTGTGGCAGTTGATTCAAAGCGGGGGTCGGTGCTTTCCTGTGATGTTCCAGTGATCGGTGGAGCGTTGGGGTGGTTGCTTTCCCATGCAAAAACAGCGCCCCTGTGAAGGGGATCACACTCAGCACCCGAGTGGGACGGCTGAGCAGGACACACTTCGAACTTGGATCTTCAGTTAATGCAAGTATCACGTTGGGAAGAAAGGCGAGGAACCGCAGGGCGCAAAGGTCAGTGAAAACAGTATGGTTTAACTTTGTTTGCAGTGGCACTCGAAAAGACGATCGGACACTCAGCGCGGCTGCAAGTCAGCTGTAAGGCTGCAGTGGGTTTGGGGGTGGTAACATGAAGGACCATGAAAACAACGAACAGCGGCAGGGTGGACCAGTGGAGTCAGTGTGTTGAAAGCAGGTACGCCAGACGGATCAGGTCTGGTTTCACTGCCAATTGCAAGCGTCTTCGTTGGCAGGAGACTTGCAATGGCACTCCTGCCCCCTGCTTGTGGAGAAATGGTGGTGGAAAACCCTTTGTCCAGGGTGGGACACACACACACACATAAAAGGAAAAAGAAAACATCCGGCAACCCCGCCCTGCCACCTCTGCAATGATTGTATAGGAGTGCAAATGAACTAAACGTACGTAGACACACACGTGCACACACACACACACACACGCATATTTATAATATATATATATATATATCATACCCCTCTGAATAACCGGGGGGGTTGAGAACGCCATTCTATAGTGATAAATTGGTGAACCAACCTCTGGGAACAAAATGCCCCACTATAGAATCTAGCTTTCAACCCTTGTAGTGTACAGCATAGTTTCTCTATAGAATAAAGGGGGTCACCCTTGAAGGCACTAATGTAACAGAATCGTAGGCCCAAAATCTGAATTATCTAATTGAAGCAGCCAGGGTTGGTTTTCATTCTATAGAGAAGTGGGGGAAACAGCCAGGGTCGGTCCTCATTCTATAGACAAGTGGGTGTCACATCAAGGCTGATATATCATTTTAGAGGAAAATTAGGCAGCAATGGCAAGAGAGGTTGGTATTCGATTTTATAGAAGCATGATTGAACATTGCAAGGTTAGGGTTTCATTTTATAACAAGATTAGGCAGCAATGGCAAGAGAGGTTGGCCACCTCTGCATCTCCAAGTGGCAGTGGCTTCTAGAATGTTCCCCAGGGGCTTTCCCCACCAGAAAGGTGCTTGAC